GAGAGAGAGAGAGAGAGAGAGAGAGAGAGAGAGAGAGAGAGAGAGAGAGAGAGAGAGAGAGAGAGAGAGAGAGATGGACTCAAGTTCGGATTCCCACGGATCTCTGTTATATATAATCCGTTAACATTACTCGTTATTACTGATCCCGTTCTGAATTTCGCTGTTTTTAAATCCGTTCCGTAACACCTAAATTAATTCGTTATTAAATCCGTTTGGTAGGCCTTTTTTTTTTTTTTTTTTTTTTTTTTTTTTTTTTTTTTTTTCTTTCGTCCGTTCTGTAATCTATCCTCTCACCCATCTGAAAGACCAGATGACACGTACAAAGATGATCCGTTATTTACTGCATTGTTTAAATCCGTTATTTATTTACTGCATTGTTTGAATCCGTTATTTAAACTTATTTTCTCCCGTTATGTAAATTTGTTAATTTTTTTTCCCGTCATGTAAATCCGTTATTTCATCCGTTCTGTACTCTGTGCTTTCAACACCCAGCTGGAATGACGGGGACAAAGTTATTCCGTTAAGCCAAACGGAGCGATTTTGAAATTAATTTTAGTATCTTTCATCCAACAGAGATGGACTGTGTGGATGAAAGAACGTTAATCTCAGCTCGAAGCAAAGGATTAAATAAGTTGAATAGACTCTGAGCTAAACCGGAAGACATGCTAAGCTAGTAAGCTGAACATACGGGGATTGCGACCGTACCAAACGACGAAATTTTTTATTTATTTTTTTAATAAGCATCAGCATTTGTCTCCGTCGATCAAGACCGGACCAGACCACACCAGACCAGACCAGACCAGAAGACCAGGAGACCAGGAGACCGGACCAGAGCAGACCCGAGGCAAAGACACAGCGATTCGATGAGACCGTGAGACCGTATACAGCAAGGAGATCAAGATCGTATATGAACCGTATAAGCACATCGGGATTGGAATTGGCCCGCATCGGGATCGCGGCGATCGGCACATCGCCGCAATTGCCACAACGCAAAGCATCGACCGCATGCCCGTCTATCCTCCATGCATTCTTTTTTATCGTTCAAAAAAAAATAAAAAAATAAAAAAATCTCATCATCACATTGTCAGGCTAATCGATGGATTTCATCGCTGGATGCATGGCTGCCGCCAAACCTCGCTCGCTCGAAGAAAGCACCAATCATCAGCTCAAAGATAACCAATCAGCCACCATGGGTGATCTCCTCCAAGGTCCAAGAAAACCAATCATCAACAGAGGACGCGGCAACGAACAAACATACAAACTAACTACAAATAAGAATGAACAAACGAACGAACGAACGAACAGAAGAACCATACAAAATCAGACGAACCACTTTGACGTAATAAAACGTAATAAAACGGAATAAAACGGAAATTTAAAGTGACGGCAACAACAACTGACAATCATTCGCCATACTCCGATCATATTTTCGCAAATCCCCCCCCTCAACCCCACCCGGCCGGTGACGGCAACAACACACACACACACACACACACACNCACACACACACACACACACACACACACACACACACACACACACACACACACACACACACACACACACACACACACATAGATCATCTACTCACCGCCAAGTACGACGATGTTCCTCGCGGGTAGGGTACCAGCTCCTTGTTCCACCAGCTTGTAGTCGATCACCGGATATCTGACTGGCTCTCTCTCTCTCTCTCTCTCTCTCTCTCTCTCTCTCTCACACACACACACACACACACACACACACACAAAGGCACGCACGCAAGCGCGCACACACACACACAGGCACGCACGAAGGCATGCACGCACGCGCACGCAGGCACGGACACACACGGATACGCGCAAAGAGACACAAGATACATGTACAGACACACACAAGACACGCACACCCGTACACAAGACAAGCACACCCACACTTGCAGACAGAGGTGCACACTCGCACAAGAGTAGACAAAATGCAGGCAATGGGGCCGCACACGAGTAGACAATGCCGCCGATTGGTTAGTCATCTCCCCGAAGGGTGATGGCGGCAGCGAGCTCGCCTGCCTGCTCACGGCCGCACAATCCCCGAGTTTCTGCCAGGAGCGGCCAAGAATTCACTGAGTGAATGAGGGCTCTCATTGGTAACTTTTCCACTTCTCTGAGACCGTAATTGTGGTCAGGTTCGTCCAGATTGGATCGGAAAACGGGTCCGGTCCATCCAGGAAAGTCCTAGGTGTGAGTGCCGTGAGTCTGGCCGCATATCCTCTTTTTTTTTTCTTTCGGTTATTTCTTCTCAGGCACGTGGGCTATTTTTTTTGGTTATTTCTTCTCAAGAAATGGCTGGTTTCTAGAGTAGTGGAGCGAGACCCTAGGGCCTCGCCGCACTACTCTCGAAATGTGCAAAACGAGAGTGAATCTTCCTCTAGAATACGGAAAGATACACGGCCATGATTTTTGTCTTTTGTGCATTTCAAGAATAGTGCAGCGAGGCCCTTCACTCTCGAAATTTCGAGAGAATAGAGTAGTGGAGCGAGGCCCTTTGTACATAGTCATGAAATAGCTCAAACGTTCCAGAGGTCACCTTTTTTTGTTTTTTTTTTAAACATCAGAGGTCACCTTTGGCCTTGGACCCGCTTCACAACAGTCTGGCCGACGCACGTGGTTCAAAGTACCTGGCCTCATCAGAGGGAGTGCCGGGAACATTGCACTTCGTGAATCGGATTTGGGGTTATATCCATTCCACGTTGCGAATGAATCTGGCCTCTCAGCCTCCGGCAAGCCTTTCGTAGAATGAATCTGGTCCTATTCCCGGTCAATCACATTGTGAATAAACCTGGACTTCCCGTCAACTGCAGAAATGAATCCGGCCTTACCAGAGTAGCGCAACACAGTTTGTGAATGAATCTGGCGATATCGGGGGCGCGTAGCATGAATGGATCGGGCACATCACCCGTCCATTTTGTGAATGAAGCTGACCTTGTCAGGGGAATGAATCTGGCCTTCTATCGTGTCCGGTCTGTGCGTGAATCTGGTCGTATGAGCGGCCCACAGTCCCACGTTTCAACTGAATCTTTGTGTGAGATCCGCTCACTAAAACGCCTGGACGGCCAGATCGGACCTAGCCCGTCCGGCCGAAAGGGATCCCTACACAAGACCTCGGGCCAGAGGAGAAGAGGGCCCCCCACTGCCAGAACCTGGCCCTTTTTTTTTTTTTTTTTTTTTTTTTTTTTTTTTTTTTAAACACCCCCCCCATGGTAGGGCTGATGATAAGAGCAGACACCACTACCAGTGGGGGAGAGGCTCCATCTATTGGTGGGGAGCGTCACCTGCTGGAAAACGGGTCCAGCTCTGCAAATGGATCATTCAGAAGATGATGACAGTAAATTCTGGGCGGCATTGGGCCTGGCCACACCACTCCCAATTCGGAGAAAAGTTTTTTTTTTTTTTTTTTTTTTTCAATGAGATTTCTCCTTGCCACGATGGCCTCTTTTATCAGCACACACCCACACAACAACAATGAGATTTCTCCTTGCCACGATGGCCTCTTTTATCAGCACACACCCACACAACAATTGGGAAGGTCGCTGTTCCGCACAGGGCGCAGCAAACTGTCACGTCAAGACAGGCACATAGTTTATAGTTTCAAGTTTCGAAGTTTCCTTACAGAAAGCAAGGGCCCGAATGGTGATTGGAACCAGAGACAGAATTATTATTTGGAGCTTTCCATTTGTTTGTTAGATCTTGAATGAAAAAAACTTTTAAAAAAGTCATAAAGCTTCGCCTACACCTCAAAGCATGCATGTGCTTTCTGTCGAAAACAGACCGTCTGATTGCTGCCCACCAACATCCAAAGGAAAGCAACATAATGTTAGGCGTCGCGGCAGTCTGGGCGTCAGTGTTACAACCGCTACTAAAGGTAGTCCGCTGCAGTCTAGGAATGAGGGACATTGAACGCCGCCTCCATTTACCTCCTAAAGGCTAAATGGCGTTTCTATGAGGTAGAAAAGAAACAAAACTCAGTTCACAAAATTGGATGTTTACAGAAGCATCGTTACCGTAATGTATGGGACGCGGTGCTCGGATAACACATTCACTGCAGCACATCAGTACACACATGGCACTCACTATGCACATGTGAGTCATGATGTGACTAGTGTAAGCCAATGCCGCCCGCGCACATACCACTCTCCCATCGCCCCTTTTTCTCTTCAGACCCTTCGTAACATCTTCCCTTCTCCGACCGATTAATTCAAAAAAGTCGCAAAGCGCTGATAATCGAGGCAAACTCCATCATCTCCTACTCTTTGCGCGTTTCAGACCAGCACTGTTCGCTGCAGATCCTCCATAATATGGCCCCGAATCTTCACAAAGGGTTCCATTGAGGATTGCCAATTCCCTCAGCTGTGCTTTCTTGACAACGTCGTAGTTTTCATCCACTGGCTTCAGAAGCTCCTCTACGATTTCAGCAGCCTGATTCAGTGATGCATCAACTGTTGATGCGGGAAGCTCGGCTTCGCTGAGCACATGCAGCGGCTCGTTCAAATGCTCAAACCCTGGCTTATCCCTCATTTTATCTTCAAGTTCCTTCGCATGCTCATCAGCAGCTGGACTTTGTCGCACCTTTCCCGAGTCCTTGATGGATCCTCTTCCTTGTATCAGAACCCTACAACCGGTGGTACTCTCAACCCTCTTTAGAGAGTTGCCTCGAGGACCGAGTAAGCGTCCAACAAAATTGTAATTTGGGTGCTTGTCAACAGGAACATCAATCCTGCGTGTCTTCCTCACAAGTGGTCCCGCAGCAGCTCCCTGTGCTCCCCAGAAGGGTGATACTTGTGGGACTGAGCCTCCTGGGCCCATCAAAATTGGCAGAGGCTTGGTTGAGCAGCCGACTACAGTTCGGTAGAACTTCCACAAAAGGACTCAGATTTTGCCGCTCCGCGAGCAGAGTCGCCAAGTATCTGTCGTTTGTCCTCGGCGCGCTGTCAGGTCTCATCGTCAGATACCCTGATCCAAGCCCCGGCAGATAGCGAGCAGTCATTTTGCAAAGTGATGTGATTCCGTGCGATGTCCACTGCCGTCGATATCCTACACAGACCGCCGCCAGCCGTCCCTTCTCCTGGCGCCGGAATTGAGAGTTCCGAGACACCTGGCAACTCGAATAGAATAAGGGCCTCATCCCACCATACTCACAGTAAGTAAAAAATGCATTTTTTTGGGCCTCCGCGGTGAACGGAGGCATGTGAAAACCGTTCACGACGTGGCGGTCGTGGAGGGAACTTCGGGAGCTCCGTTTTCCGTTTCGTAAAATCGACGGGCCCTTACCCTTACGCGAACTTACCGCCACTCACGTAAAATTCCCTTCAATGTCGGGACAGTGGAGTGCCATTTTACTTACCGAATGCGAAACCCGCGGACCGGGCTTTTATGTATCTCTCGGACTTTTACTTACGGTGAGTATGGTGGGATGAGGCCCTAAAACAGTCGGGAAACCGACGACAGAAAGCCCTAGGAAGAGAGCAATACTGGAACAAACTGTAAGGGCCTCGTTCCACTACTCGCCATCCCCCAGAAACAGTGGCGAGACTTGGCGAGGCCGAAAACTGCATTTTTCTGGCGGAAAAAGGGTTTTTGTTCCATTACTATGGCATACTGTGCAGCCACACGGGCCCTGCAGGGCCCGTCCCGGACCTCCAGCCTGTTTCCCTACAGGGAAACTTCCAGGCTCTTGCCTAGAAGCTTCCTTCTGACAGGGCCTACAGGCCCCAGCCTGTTTCCCTACAGGGAAACTTCCAGGCTCTTGCCTGGAAGCTTCCTTCTGACAGGGCCTACATGCCCCAGCCTGTTTCCCTACAGGGAAACTTCAGGGAACTTCCAGGCTCTTGCCTGGAAGCTTCCGCAGGGTCTAGGCCAGGGGAGCATTGGCACGGCCAGCCTCCTGCACGGGCGAGCACTATAAAGGACTAGCCCGCCCTGCGGGAAAGGGTCAGTAGGCAAAGGTAGTCTTCAGGATTCGGCCGCAGCACTCAGGAGGAGCACTGCAGTAGTCTTCAGCGCTAGGTAGTAGTGGAAGCGCTAGCTGTAGTCTTCGGCGCTGGGCGCCATAGCTGTAGCTGTAGTCTTCAGCGCTGGGCGTTGGTAGGTAGTAGATCGCAGAGTGGGAGAGAGATTGGCGGAGGCCAGTGTTACTTACCTGTGGCGCCATCGCTCCAGCTCCATCTTCGTGGTACCTGCATCAAGGCGCCAACTTCACATGTTAGTACTGGACACAGAGAGAGAGAGTTCTTCTTCCTCTTCTAAGTCCACCTTCTCTTCTCACCCTCTCGCCACCTGACTTCTCAGACCATGACAGAGAGCTTATACACATCTAGATGTGTATAAGAGACAGTGTATGTTCAGGGCTGCATTACAACATTGATTGTTCGGATCACTGGTATCTAAGTCTTCCGCTGTGCTATCTTATACTTTGTATTGAAAGGTCGGTTCTTGTTCTGGTCTGCACCTATACGGTATGCAACAATTACATAGCCGCCGCCACGTGCTCTGTGGTTGCTGTCCCGGCCTGCTCCCCGGACTGTGGCGGATGGCGAGCTGATGGAACGGTGGCCGCCTTCTCTTCACCATGTACTCGGACTGGAAATCACTCCAGGTGCAATAAACTTGCCAACACTAGGGGACAACGCAGGTCGACTGTCAGGACGGCTGTGTCAGGGGCAATGGCCACAGGAAGCATTTCGCGGAGGGGTGAGGAGTAGGGCCTCCACGAAGGGCCGTTGCAGGCAGGGGAAATGGAAAGCCGTGGACGCACATCGCCACGTGATTTCACACCCAAATTCTGACGGCCTCCATTTAGTGGCTATTGGCGATGCAGTGTAACCAAGTCGCGTCCGCCATGCGTGGCGGATGGCGAGTAGTGGAACAGGGCCCTAACTCAACCCGCTGCCTCCTTACCTCCTCCATCAATCGTCTCACCTGTGGCGCAAGGAAGAACCCAGTGCGGTCAGTGTTCGCACTAGCTGTTGCGCCGATCGCAGAAACCTTGCCAACTGCGAAACAGCACAACATTCGCTACGCCTCTGATCATGAGAAAGACGATGTACAAGGGGCCACACCCAAGGAAGCGTGAAGGGGACGATGAGTGTGCGGCCCAGAAAAAGTCGCACGCTAAAGTGGTCAAAACCCCAAAGGAGGGCAAAGGGGAGTTCAACAGCAAGGACCGGGGAACAAAGGATGGGAAGCGGGGAACGAGGTCAGGGGAAAATGAGGCGAGTGGAAGGGTGGAAGAAAAGGAGAGAGGAGGCGAAAAGGTAAAGGGGGACAAAGGGGGGGAGGGTAAGGCTGTTGACAAGGAAAAGCGAGGGGCTCAGGAGAAAGATGAAGGGAACAAAGAGGGGGAAAAGAATCAGACCCGGGCGGAGGAAAAACTTTAAGACAAAGAGCAGCAGGACAGGGAACGGGAGAGAGAGAGAGCTAAGGGGACAAGTACGGAATATTCCCCGACAGAAGCAAGGAAACGGTACAGAAGGAGAAGTAATGGGAACGAGAAGGTTTCCTCGAAAGAGGGATCAGAGAGGCAGGAACAATCAAGGAACGCAAAAAGAAGGGAAAATTCTCCTACTCTCGTGGAATTAATGGATGAGGACAAGTCCCTCCCTGACCGAGAGAAATGGAAGAGGGAGGAAAGAAACGGGGACTCGGAAGGGGAACGAAGCTCCATGAACACAAGTCCAGTTCTCCCCCCCAGGACCACTATTTTTCGTCATCAGACTCAGATGAAGCTGCTGACGAAACAGTTGGTCCCCAGGAGGAAGGGTGGTTGTGATGCGCAACCTCACGCCCTGTGCTGTCTTTCGTTCGGAGTGCTAGGTGTGCGGAAAGAGGCCCATAAAAACAGCAAGATGGGGTGTGCCAAGGATTTTTGAAAATTGAGTGTGGGGACACAGACGAAACTGAAATCCCCCGTGTTGGTCCGACGAAGTAAGTCGATCGTTTTTCGCACGGCGCTGACTGCGCGCGCGGAAGTTTGGCGCGAGAGGAGAGAGAAATACAAATTCAATCCAGAAAATATTGTAGGACTTCCCACCTGGCTACGGCCCGTCGTTTAGAACAGAAAGGTTTTGGCACGTTTCGCGTGTCTCGTTTCCGTATTAAGTCCCGTCATCGTTCATCGACCAGTTCGGAATCCGACGTGGACGGTCATAGTCGCGTGGCTCTTTCTCTATGTTCGTCTTCACTCCGCACACGGTAGTGGAAACCCCTGGTTTCGTAGCGCTCAAAACGCTGGCATTCGGTGCATAGAGTGCGCGGCCAGTGGGGTTCTACTGCCGTCCACGGGATGACTATCAACTCATTGAATGGCAACAATATCGAGTAGGGTGGAAAGTGTGTATCGATAGTGGCAAACCCAGCCTCTACGAACCTTGAACAATGGTTTGCCGGAGTGCGCGACAGCTTCTCGTACGTCCTACTCCCATACACGCGTCCTTTCCTTGTTGTAGGGAAAAGGTCGTGCTGATACGGGAGGTACGGGAGGCTGACGCCTGATCGAAGGGTGCTTGTCAGTCCACATGTCAATCAATTGCAAAAATTCCGAGACGTCATCAAGGAAAAACACTCGCGCAATCACTAATCAATCCTTTTCGACACGAGAGAGAGAGAGAAAAACCACTCATTAGCTCGATCATGCATGCAACCAAGGGACCGACCCACGACTCATTTTTCCGTAAGCCACCGTGGTGGTGATCCTAGGCGCCTTATTTCTCGGGGCTGCCCTGTAGATCGGCTGCAGATGTCGTGCAGCATAAGGCAGATGGCATGCGCAGTGCATTCAGGAATACAGATCTAAACACTCTTGCATTCTCGAACAAAATCCCGCCAAGTACGGCGTCTAATCAATACAGAAAGGCAAACATCTCCATACATGCATTCACTGTGGAAGGTGCGAAAATGACGAGGGTACACAAGTCAGAAATCAACCGACGGAATTGTACACACGCATCCACCGTTCACAAGACAAAAAGGATCAATTCCTCGACATCTGGGGATTACCCAGGAAACTAATGGAAGAGTTCCGGAAGAAGTTATTTCACGCAGGAAAGCACACAGATTTATTCCCATCCAAGAGAGAGACAAACATCGAGACACATCATCATTCAAAGATAGAGGAGAGAGGGGGAGGTGAGGGAGATGACAAGATCCGAAAGAAGGAAGTTCGGCATTGCCGCCGTGCACTCACGCTTGAGACAAGGATCCGCAACAACAAAGGCGCATTCGCCGTTAATTCCAACATGGCCCCAGGCCAATCACTCACTCAACTCCAATCATCGATCCTCATACCCGCACCGATGATCCAGGCCGTCGCGTGCTAACTCCCACCACTGCGATCGTCACCCCGCTGACGTAAACTCAACGCGGCTTGCCCAGATCCCAAAGTCCGTCGTGGCGATCAAGCGCACAACCGGCCAGCCTATCGTCAGTCCGACAGGAATTTCCGACTCGCACCAAACACTCTGCCTAGCCACTGCTTCCCGGAAGTTGGCTTGAGAGTCGAGAACGTCAGAGAGATGTACAGGCGCGTTTGCGGAATTTATAGTGGTGAGAAGGGGGGCGAGGGAGAGAGAAGGCAGGGGGAAAGTCGAAGTGTAGGGAAAGAAGCAGGAGGAGAAGACTTTGAGAAGAGCGCTTCGTGGAAGCCATGTTGATCCCTCGAGACTCAAGGTTCAACCAATCAGATTCGTCGCGCAATAGGAAGATCCTATTGATCGACGCACCCGATTGGCGAGCGGGAGTTATCAAAGGATCGACCGGGCGTCGTGCGCTGAGTTCGGAGGGTGAAAACAAAAAGGCGCGAGACGTAGTGTAAGACGGGTCCAAGATTCAGACGATCAAGAAAGGGAAAAATGGGCGCGCAAAGAGTAGAGCAAGAGAGAGGGAGAGAGGAAGAAAAACAGTTACGAGGAGAGAGGAAGAGGAGGGGGGGAAG